GTTACATCAGACAGTTCAGAAATCCAGACCTTTCTGAATTTTTCATTTCAGTACAAAATTAGTTGCTAGCCAATTTTCATCTTACCACCTTATTTTAACATTTACAAAAAAAAATAAAATCACTCTGCTTCTAGATTCCATATTTATTGCTTAGTTACAGAGATAGCAAGGCTCTGACAATGCTGACGCAATGCAAATCAGCATGATGTTATTCACATCATTTTAGGTGCCTTTACGTTCTAGAAAAACTAAATATAAACTACAGTGTCTGAATGCAATATTATAATGTAATATGATAATACTATTACGAGGGGGAGGTGGGGGGCTACTAAGAATTCTTCCTTAGCTGCCTCCCACTCTGCCTCAGCTGCCATCAACTTTACAACGTTCACCTTTTCAGCTTCCGAGAGTGCGACACAGGGCACACCAGATACCTTCCTCTGCTATTAGGTCTTCCGCTTCTCCTTATAGATATAACTTCTAATCCAAAAACTTCTCATGATGAAGAAAGATTATAAACCCTCCTATCCGTACCCATAGCTCTGAGGCACTGTAATCAACAGCACAAGCAAAATGTGACAGTATCTAATTCACACGTTATGTCTCAGTTACACTACTGGCAGAGAAGTCAAATACAGAAGATCTCAGACCATAGAATCATAGAACCACAGAACATTTTGGGTTGGAAGGAACCTTCAAGATCATCCAGTTCCAACTCCCCTGCCATGGGCAGGGGCACCTTCCACTACACCACGTTGCTCAAAGCCTCATCCAACCTGGCCTTGAACACTGCCAGGGATGGGGCAGCCACAGCTTCTCTGGGCAACCTGTGCCAGTGCCTCAGCACCCTCAGAGGGAAAAATTTCTTCCTTAGATCGAAATCTCCCCTCTTTCAGATTAAAGTCATAACCCTATGTCCTGTCACTACACACCCTTGCAAAAAGTTCAGCTTTCCTGTAGCCCCTTTAGGTACTGGAAGTCTGCTCGAAGGTCTGCCCGGAGCCTTCCCTTCTCCAGGCAGAAAAACCCCCAACTCTCTCAGTCTGTCTCCATAGCAGAGGTGCTCCAGCCTTCTCATCATCTCCGTGGTCTCCTCTGGACCCACTCCAACAGCTCCATGTCCTTCTGATGCTGGGGACCCCAGAGCTGAACACAGCACTGCAGGGAGGGTCTCACGAGAGCAGAGCAGAGGGGCAAAATCCCCTCCCTTGACCTGCTGCCCACGCTGCTGTGGATGCAGCCCAGGATACAGTTGGCTTTCTGGACTGCCAGCGCACGTTGCCGGCTCATGTTGAGCTTCTCATCAACCAACACCCCCAAGTCCTTCTCAGCAGGGCTGGTCAGGGTGGCTCAAGTCCCCCACAAGGACCAGGGCTCATGAACACGAGGCTGCTCCTATCTGTCTATAGACGGCCTCACCTGCTTGGTCTTCCTGGCCAGGTGGCCTGTAGCAGACCCCCACTACAGTGTCACCTGTCTCTGCCCTCTCTTTAATCCTGACCCATAGGCTCTCGGTGAGCTCCTCATCAATCCTCAAACTGAGCTGCATGCACTCCACCAGGTCTTTGACATAGAGGGCAACACCTCTTTGTCTCCCCTGCCTGTCCTTCCTAAAGAGCCTATATCCTTCCATTCCAATGCTCCAGTTGTAGGAATCATCCCACCACATCTCCGTGATGCCAGTAAGATCATAGCCCTGCAGGCCTGCATCCATTTCTAACTCCTCGTGTTTATTCCCCACGCTACATGCGTTTGCATAGAGGCATTTAAGGTGGGCTCCAATGGAGCTGACTTACTGGCTGGAATTCCTTTCTGCTGCTCTTCAGGTGCTCTCAGCTTGTCTTGCTCAAGCCTGGTATTATCTCCCTTCCCCTTCAAGTCTAGTTTAAAGCCCTGTCAGTGAGCCCCACTAGCTGATAAGCAAAGACTCTCATTCCCCTTTGCGAAAGGTGAATCCCATCTGCTGCAAGCAAGACTGGTGCCATGTAGGTCATCCCATTATCAAAAAACCTCGAAACTGTGGCAGTGACACCGGCCACGGAGCCATATATTAATAGACTGGGTGCATTTGTTTCTTCCAATATCACTGCCCACTCTAACACTTCTGGTGTATTTGTTTTGTTAAATAAAATCCTTTGCAACAATGCAGCCAACAGCCTTCTCTTAGATTGTAATAGTACTAACAACAAAAATTCAAAGGACAATTTACCAAAAGACAGCTCACTGAGGAAAAAAAAATTATTGGGAGTAGACCATGAACTCAAGTCTTTCTGCTCTCACTTCTGTATCTTAATGATTAAACTAAGGAGTCTATCCCCTCCTTTCAGTCATTTAATCTTTAACTCTTATGCAAAGGGGTATGGCTTCAGCTACAGAAGCCAGGAATTCCCACTCACATATGCATGAACAGCCTGTAGGCCACTAAGCAAACATTAGTTGAGGGCTGGAAAAGCAGTATTTGAAGCTCTCCAAGCAGACCTTCCACTTAACAAGTGCTCTGAAGGCCTAGGTAGATACAAAGAAGGCTGTAACACCACTACTTGCATTTTGAGCAACATGGCTGTTGCTTCATTCTTCACAAAGCATACTGGCAACCATTAGGCATTATTTGAAACATCTGAAGGCTCATCCTGAGACAAAACAGTGAAAACATCTAATTTCCGACAAGGTGCAGCAGAATCAAATGCCCAGCTGCTCAGCCTCATCAGTACCAAGGCAATACTCAGAAGCAGAGATAACTTGGCCAAGAAACTTGAGAGTCAAAAATGATTTATCTAAAGAGTAAGTCCCCATGGTTAAGCAAGAGCTTGATGAAAATATTAAAGCTGTTGCTGTGCTAGGTTTTGTTCAGGCTATTTTTGCCTGAACTTTTTTTTTCAAATCTGGACATGGAATCGAAGAGAGAACAAGCACCTCAGAAAGCATTTACTCTGAAGCCAAAGACAGAAAAAGTCCACAAGTGATAGATCTGGAGCTCCTTCAAGCACGGACAGTGACTACAGTGCAACCCATCTCTCTGTCACTCAGCACTTAATCCTTTTGGATTCAAAGGGAAGGAGTTATTTTGACATACAGTCAGATCTTTCTCACTATTTCAAACCTCACCCAAATCTGTATGGACAGAAAATTATTATCTGCTAGTAACTAAGCAGCCTCTGTGAATTTATAGTAGTGACAATTGTTATGAAGCACCTAAAAGACTATAGCTTAAACTGAGTGCTCTCTGTCCCTTCAAAAATATACTACGCATTCCTGGTAAAGCAGCATAAACTATTAAAATCCTGGAATGAAGCCTCATTTATGCTCTGCTAGCACTGAACTTGTACAAACTCAGCATTTCTTCCCCAATAAAATCACCACAGCAGAACATGCCTGTCTTGCTGGGGAAGACTTACACAGATTTACCCAAAATTCATCACCCAGCCAGCAGAAGAGAAAGTTTTCTGGCTCTTAATCCATTTCATCTTTTAAAGGACAAAGGCAGACTGAAGTATTCAGCGAGTCATGACAAAACATGCTGCTGACTATTTGGAACATGTTTTTATGCATGCTCCATACTTTTCTACTGCTCTAGAAGTTATTTTCTGTGGCATGTGCATTGGCTAGTTTGCCTAGATATTTGTGGGAACAAGGAAAGTCTAAGCTCACGATCCATTTCCTAACTAATTACAAAATGCAAACTGAAACACTAGCCTTACTTACAAAAGTGTTGGGGGCAGGAGGAGTCACCAGTACAAACGTTACTTCACCTCTTTTTCTTTAATCTTGTTTTTGAAAACCTGTCCTTGGTCTCAATCTCAGCTTCAAAAAACATTTTAAATTCAAGTAAAAAAAATCAGTTCATACAAGGGCATTAAGAGACCCCACTGTTATGAAGGGAAGCAACAAACAAACTGATCTGTTTCATTCCTATTCTCCACTTACAGCATATAGGATTGAATATTTGCAAAAATATTTTAAAAATACCAACAGTAAGACTTCATGCATTCATTTTTAATATTAGTTCTTTTTCCTTTTATAGCAGATATATAGTATCTACTGTGTTCTCATCATACTTTCATTAATGGTCTGAATGAAGAAATACAGCATGCTTACATGCTTAACAAACACAGAGACACAAAAGCTACACACATGCTGAAGGACGGGAATAAGATAAAAATTATTTCAACATATTAAATAAAGATCAGGAAAAAATCAAATTTGGCAGGATCAAATGAAAGGCAACACACTTGGTAAAACACAACAGACTGTATAAATGCAGGATGAGGAACAAATTTCAGCAGCACACCTTCAAAGTAAAGGGTGGCAAAACTCTACTACATCATACCATTATGAAAACAGATACCATGCCATAATATACAATACTGGCATATCTATCAGGGTACACAAAATAATCCTTGTGCTCTTATAAGTACGCATGTTAATGGCCCTGTTGGAAAACTCTTCTCGTTTTGGCAGGGCACGTCCAGAAAGACATGTACTGAGTGGAGTGAAGTCAGAACAATCAGGGAAAAGCACTACGCATCTATTAAATAGGACCTACAGACAAATACGCAAGAGTTGGGTTCTTGAAAAAGAACTTTCAGAGTTGGGTCTAAAAGAAGGTAAGTGCCAGGGAAATACATTGTTACAAGTTAAATTTGTAAAAGGCTGCAGTTAAGAGGAAGAGAATAACCTCTTCTTCACATCAATTGATAAGTAGCGAGGTAATACTGCACCAACACATATACAAGTTAGATAACAGGAAGAACCCATCCAGTGCTAAGAATACTGGAGCACTAGAGCTATACAGTCCTTGTCGCAAAAAGTCTTTAAGAACATGTTAGATAAGCACATTGGATGTCCATTGTTTTGGGGTTTTTGTTTGTTTGTTTTTTAAAATAATCTATATAGCCACTAAGAAACACAGACAAAAAGTAAACTGCATCCAAATTATTCCTCTTACCAAGCATCACAACTTCTTTTAAAGCACCAGCAATTTCAAAACCACTTATTCTTACCTCTTTGCTTCCTCCAGATGACAAAGGTATTCATAGGCTACATTCTGGCGTCGTCTTTCATCCATTTCCTCTGCTGTTAGTCTCTCATTATCCAAGACAGCTGCAAATAGTCAAAACACATTCTCAGGTGGTTGAAGATTGAATGTAACTGAACAGGCACACCAAAAATCAGAGCCAACCCTTCCTACAGAAACTCATCACAGGTTTTATTTGATTCAGAAAAAAATGAGGGACCAAATATATCTGTTCTTTACAAGCAACAGAGGAGACACTGTTTCCTTACCCTTTCTTCCTTGTCACATAAACTTGCCATCTTCCCTCTTTCTGATTTCTCAATTTGACTGTGATCCAACTTTCTTCATCTTCTAAGAAAGTCTTTCATTTTCTTATTTTCTTCTAGCTTGTCCCTCCATCTAGCCTTGGATTTTAGTAGTCAAAGATTAAGGAAGAACACTATATATTCACATAATCTAATCCCTTCTGTATTTGTGTAATCCATCTCTGAAAAAAGATGGAAATGCTACTCACAATCCTCGTGTGCAAAGGAATCATTCAGATCCACAACCTGTGTGTCATCTTCAGATGAAGCTGAGGACATAGAGGTATATGCCTAAATCTTCCAGATTCTGCATGTTTAAAGCCTCAACCATAAATCTTTCCACTCCACTCTTATGGCTAAATACCTCATCCATGCTTTCATGTAAAATAAAAACAAAAAACCCACAACTTTTTAGGTTTTATGGACCAACTTGATAAAGAGGAAATGTCTCGCACCATTACTAATCAAAGGTTACTAGTTTACACCTAAAATGCCTTCAACAAATACATGCAAGTGACGAGGTATCAACTACAGCACTTGGGATCAAACAAGATCGTGGTTCAAACCGCCAAGGGTCTCTTAGAAACCAGTTCGCAGTACCACAGAAGCATCTTTCTGATTACTCCAACCCCACCCAAAGTTGAAAGAGCCGAAAACTGTCCCAAACCACAGCCTACCAGTACAGAAAAATTCCCTCTCCTCCCAACACCCGAACTTTGAAAGCACTCCACCTGCTGCCGCCCGTGCTGCCCGCCCCGGCCCTGCGCCGCGGGCCTCGGGCGGCACCGCACGGTTTGCGCGACTGTCGCTTACGACATCTCCCAACCGCAGCACCGCGCTTTTCCCCGCCTTCGCTCGTTTCTGACGTGGTATCGTAGCACAAGCGAGAACGCATCTCGGACACCTTGAACTAAAGCCTCCCTCTCCACAGCCAGCGTATGACCAGGAGGTGCCCGATCGGAACGCG